GGCTGCAGGTGCTGGGGTTCAGGTAATGAAAGTAAAAACCAGCTGGATTTCACCAAACTGGCAACACAAACAAGAGCTGTGTGATGCTAATTATAGACAACACTTTAGTACCATGGATCTCTTTAGTACTGGACTTGAAATATCATGCAGTATTTTCATCAAAACAAAAACATGGCAATATCAAGCATCAAAGGTGAACATTCCATCAGTAACTCCCAATACTGTTGGCATTTGTCTCCTTTGAGTAATTTCCTGATACCCACTGACTCTGACCTACAGCCCTCACCAGCCTGTTGCAAGTGGCTATCCAAGCGATTTAAGAATGTTATATTTCACATCTTTTCACATAATAATACATGGACAATATGTTACTTTTATCTAATTCACCTTATCCGGCTATTCATAACTATCACATCAACTCATTTACTTTTGAATGTCTAAAAGTAGTTTTCACATCATATCATATAATGTAAAAATGGAGCACCCCCAAAGAAGCTCTCCGGAGGAAGGCAGTTGAAGACCCTCGTCTAGAGGCAGATGTATTGTGTATGGGCCATGAGGGGAGAATGGATAAAGCCCTCCGTGTGGAGCCAGCTGACAACACAGTGTATTCTACCGTTCTTATGTTGTAAAAGACTGGAGAAAATCTATTTTATTTGCTTTCACTTTATTTGTTCTTGTTTGCTGCAGTAACGTCCTCTGCTCCTCTGGCTTTTATAACGTTAAGCTGTAAAACAACAGGACAATGCTTGAGGCCATAAGCAAATGTAAAAAACACTTAATATAATGAGGCTGCTTACTTCTGCAAGGCTGAGCGCTTATATCATCCAAAACAAATTCTTCAGAAACACAAGGGGTCATAATGTCCGCTCCACGGCAGCAGAGGTAGGGGCTGCGTCACATCCAAGGTCTACCAGCAGCAAATCCAAGTGGTAAACTGCAAGAGGTCCATCTTTGCGGTCAGAGATTTTACTTCATTAAGAAGCGCAGTGTTGACAGTGTAAGATTCCAAGTCTTTTAACTTACTGTATGCTGTTGTGTATTATGAACCATATCTTTATCATATATAAACGCACCTTTCGCTCTCTGCGGGTGGTTATCCCTCTCTAAGCTTGGGTCCTCTACCAGAGGCTTGGCAGCTTGAGGGTTCTGCGCAGTATCTTCGCTGATCTAGCACTGCACATTTCTGCACCGAGATTTCCGAGGGTGTTCCAGGGATCTGCTGTAACCACTCCTCCAGCTTTCGTGGTCACTGCCTCGAGTGCAATGAGCACTACTGTTACCTTTACCTTCCAGGCCCTTTATAGCTCCTCTCAGAGGCCTTAGCATTTCTCAAGCTTTTCATGCTCTTTTTCCTGAAAGGTAAAGGTGACAGTAGTGCTCGTGGTGATCGGTGCACTCGGGGCAGTGACCTCGAAGCTGGAAGAGTTGTTACAGCAGATCCCTGGAACAACCTCCGAAATCTCGATCGAGAAATGTGCTCGGAACAGCAAAGATACTGCGCAGAATCTTCAAGCTGCCAGGCCTCTGGTAGAGGACCCGAGCTTAGAGAGGGATAACCACAGAGGGACTAGTTTGTGGCAGTAGTGGTGCTGTAGTGCTGTAGTGTGTTTAGTCTTCCTCACCGTGCAGACAGCTAAAACGTCTCTTCATCCAGGATGTGATACGATGGCAACGGCTCTTCTTCTTTTCTTCTGGACCTACACATATAAGACTTTTAGCTACTTTACCAGCACAATGCAAGTGCTGGTATGTGACAATTTATTCTATTGAAAATGTAAAAATATTGTGAGCAAAAATGGGATTTATCTTTAAATCAGGTATATTTCTAATAAGTTTCTCATACAGTCCAAGTGAGGTTTCAAGTGGCTCACTGTGCTTTCTGCTGCATCCCTGTCTCCAGACTTACCTCTCACAGACCTGGAGCTCCTCTTGGATTTGCAACTCACTTTCTGGAGTGATGGGCTTGACCATAATGACCCCTGGTGAACGGTGTGAGTATACTGGTTGAGAGCAGAGCTCTCGAAAACGTCTTTACAGGATGGACCAAAAGTTGGCTCTTGGCCCAAAGCTCCGTTCCACATGTGTGTCAATGCTGAGGGGGGTGAATTGTTTTGGTCCACTCTAGTTTACTTGCTGTGAATTTTTGAAGTCTTTCATTCAAATGAATGGAGCTGCGCCGGCTGACGCATGCGCAGATGCGTTTTTTCACAATTTTCTTGTGGGCGGGACCACTCGCGGCCATTTTGGATAGCTCCAGTAGAGCAAATTTTTTGGCCCATTAGTTAGAACGGCGGAGATAGGCGTGACTCTGTCCGTTAATATATACAGTCTATGGTTGGCATTGATCTGCAAAAAGAAGAACACAGTTATCAGATGTTCAGTTTGATGAAGGAAAGGCCAGTTTCAATGGACCCCCTCGGAAACTAGACGATTAATCTCAAGGGGTTTTTACGTTAATAATGTGGCTGCTTGTGAACAGCAGGAGGTACTGTGCAGCAGGGACGTGCGGTGAGGTTTGTGATTGGGGAGGCACTGACTTTAAAAGTCAGATTTACAATCATTATTCAAATAAAATAGCATTTAATCACCAATGCAATGACATCCACAAACTTTATATACTGTAAAGATAAGAGAACCAGCTTCTTTTAATAATCTCACAACAAATCTAGCTGCTGACTCTGCTCCGCATCAAACAACATCTTTAAGAAGCGCAGGTGCGAGAGACGCGAGGAGAGAGAGACGCGAGGAGAGAGGAGCAGAGAGAGACAGAGAGGAGCAGAGAGACGGAGACGCGAGGAGCAGAGAGAGACGGAGACGCGAGGAGAGAGAGACGCGAGGAGAGAGGAGCAGAGAGAGACAGAGAGGAGCAGAGAGACGGAGACGCGAGGAGCAGAGAGAGACGGAGACGCGAGGAGAGAGAGACGCGAGGAGAGAGAGACGCGAGGAGAGAGAGACGCGAGGAACATAAACAATAATTTAAACAAGTTGCAGAACTCTTGAGCAGTGTTTGAATCAGTGTTTTTCGGAAAAGCACTACTTTGCCGGTATCTGTCAATGTTCAACATAAAACACAGATTAACAAACTCCTCCCCCGCAGCCGGACTAACCTCGTAAGTCCAGTGGTGGTCTCCCAGTCTATATTAATTCTTTCTTTGTTTGAAAGTCCAATTGAGAAAAAAAATCTTCATTCAAATCATCCATTTTCCAGCAAAAGAAATAGCATTTTGGGCTGATTGTTTGTTAGCAACTCTGGTATGAACTTTATGCTCACTATCACCCCTAGCGGTGAGGCACAGATACCGCCTGCCTCACGCCAAGCTTTTTCCTTGTGTGTTCATCTACGATCAAAAGACTTAAACTAAATATAAATTGTACACACATACGTGCAATACACTACTAAACACTAAGAGGAGTTTAAAAAATGTTTTTAAAGCAGGATATTTGAAACAAACGGTGATATATCAACTGCACGAGCTGAGTGCACTCAGACACACACACACACACTGTGAGGGAGCGGTCTGGGGTGAGGCACGCAGGAGCGCTGCCTCACCTCGTCTCTTTGAATAGGAATAACGGGATTTCGGCGATTTTGACTTCAGAAATGATCAAAACTGATGGGAACCGTGCCGAATATACATTAAAAGCATAGGACAGTGGATATAAATTATATATTTAAACTAAAATAATTATTAGTTTCCAATAATGGCAGGTGAGGCTCTGCCTCCCCTGCCTCCCCTGACTGCACGTCCCTGCTGTGCAGGTATTTTCTGCAGGACACCAGTTGTAGAAGCCTGGAGCATGCAGGCTGCATGCCGATGTGCCGCACACTGAGTCCCCCTTGTCAAAATAGGAGCCTTGCTTATTTTTGTGACACGGCTCCCATTCAAAATACATGGGAAAGTCTGTGACGTCTGTTCACTTGCCGTGCACTTTTGTGATATTTGACTAAATCTCCACCGAGAACAGAAAGGACAGAACGTGTGGAGCTGCCTTTGTGAGATCACAACTAGTCAGGTGTCATTATGGTCAGGCTTTTCTATATGTCTCCTGAATCTAAAGAGGCCTTTAGAAAAGTTTGTCTAAAAGACTAACACTGTACTGGATGTAAAATAAGTGGACAAACCTGCTACTTGGTGCAGCCATGTTGGACTGATGAGGAGCATCTTGGGACTCCTCCAACTCCTCTCCAGACTCTTCAGCCTCCTCTTTGGCCCCCTCTTCAGCCTCCTCATCAGTCTCCTCTAAAAGGAATAGGCCACCGTTTTTACATACTGACATATGTTCTTACCTTACCTTAGACTAGTTGATATGTACCTGTCTGGTCTTTGTCCGTGCGCTCTGTCATGCAAACGGAGCACAAATGTAGCCTCTTCCACATACTGTATAGTTCCAAATCAGCTCCCGTTAGAAGCTACCAAACTCTTCCACGTTTTCCCTATTTAAATACAGTTACGTGACGTGTTACACTACAAAGTATAGTAACACAGAAATGTAACATGTTGATTTTCTCAGCGGATAGAAAGGGGTACTATATTGTGAGGCGTAGTAATAGGAGAGAAATCTTTAGGAGATGGAGCGCGGACGTAGTGCTCCTCGTATTACTACGCCTCACGATATAGTACCCCTTTATATCCGCTGAGAAAATTGACATGTTACATTTCTGTGTTACTATACTTTGTAGTGTAACACATCACGTAACTGTATTTAAATAGGGAAAAAGTGGAAGAGTTTGGTAGCTTCTAACGGGAGCTGATTTGGAACTATACAGGATGTGGAAGAGGCTGCGTTTGTGCTCCGTTTGCATGACAGAGCGCACAGACAAAGACCAGACAGGTACATATCAACTAGTCTAAGGTAAGGTAAGAACATATGTTAGTATGTAAAAACGGTGGCCTATTCCTTTAAGTCTCCTCATAAGTCTCCTCTTGAGCCTCCTCATCAGTCTCCTCTTGAGCCTCCTCATTAGTCTCCTCTTGAGCCTCCTCATCAGTCTCCTCTTAAGCCTCCTCATCAGTCTCTTCTTGAGCCTCCTCATCAGTCTCCTCTTGAGCCTCCTCATCAGTCTCCCTTTCAGTCTCCTCATCCTCACTACTTACAGAAAACACAAACTTGTATAAAACACCATCTTCTGCTCTCTTTACGAAAGAGAAACCTACTACTCTGGTGGTGCGGATGTGCTGTAGTGCTGATGTTTTATTGGCCCTTAGTCTTCCTCAGCCAGCAGGCAACTAAAGCGTTTCTTCATCCAAGATGTGATGCGATGGAAACGGCTTTTCTTCTTCTTCTTTTCCTCTGGACCTACACACACACACAAACACACACAGGGGTTTCACTATACCAGCACATTGTAAGTGATCAATGATTGAAGTGTTAGCCAGCCCAGGTGTTTCCACAAGCAGGGAACTATTAGTGTTTGCATGTGGTCTGTGTTCAGAGAGAATTCTTACCGTGACAATATCCATGAGGAGGATCACCACAGATGTCTTCAGAACTGGCTTCTATGGTCTCTAATCTCTCCTTTGGTCCACTGGTTACACTGGTGACACACAACAAAGGTCCTGTTTATGATCTTTTCAAGACACTACAACTAGACAAGTTGCTCATTTCTGCACTGCCAATATTTATATAGAACACTGGAACAGTCACATTTATCTATTTATATAATCTTTATTCCGGACTCAAGGTCCATACAAGAGACAACACAAAGACACCACAAGACACAGAAACATAAAAAATAAAATAGCAAAGTCTAAGGACTCATAGTATTTATAAAGTCTTTCTCATTTATTCTAGAGACAAAGACTTCACTGTGGTTGCCTTGATGACCAGAGGAAATTGGACTACAACTACTCAAGTGGTTCATTTCTGCGCTGTCAATATTTCTAGAGATCACAGTAACATTAATCTATAAACAAATTCTTTGTCATTTATTCTATTAATACATGAGAAAGACTTCAAGTGGCTCCCTGTACTTTCTGCTGCATCCCTGTCTCCAGACTCTTACCTCTCGCAGACCTGGAGCTCCTCCTGGTCGTGTACCTCACTTTCCGGAGCGATGGGCTTGACCATAATGACCCTTGGTGAACGGTGTGAGTACACTGGTAGAGCACTGACACTGCAATAAAAATATGACGATTAGAGTGAAGAACTACTGCTGTTATGACATCTTTTGATCTGAGTGAGTCCTTACACAGACTTTACTGTGGTCGCCTTGATGACCAGAGGAAATTGGACAACAACTACTCAAGTGGTTCATGTCTGTACTGTCAATTAGGGCTGGGACAACGCATCTACGTAATCGATGACGTCAACGCAAAAAATACGTCGATACAAAAGCAAGTCGATTCATCATACTCAAAACAAAGATGGCAACGAGTAGTAGCAGTAGTACGCGAGTGCCGTCTTATGGGGCGTTCAGACCGCCACTGGAACGCACATTCTCTAAATTACAGAGGCTAGGGGTGTTCAGACCAGAAGTCCTGGGCTAACAGAGTTAAACTAGCAGAGTTAGGCTAGCGGAGCTAGAGGAGTTATGCTAGCGGCTTTTTGTGTAAAGTTCTTCTCCAAAAACAGTTCTGCAGCGTCTCTGTGTTCAGAGACCTTCCAGAAGCTTTATATAACAGCAGTATGTGTTCACGGAGGTACGCCATCGGTTTATTTTATTATTAGACGGTACTTACGCATCTGCAAACATGCTAGCTGTGCTTCATGTTAGCGGCGCTAGTTTAGTCACTGGAGATTGACAACTCGGGCTGTGGGAATGTTCACAAGCACACACAAAGAGACAGACAGTATTCTTAAGGGGAAAGGAAAGTGTCCGAGTCTAATTGATTGACTGCGGAACCTTCCGCAGTCAACCATTGGTTTTGTATTTCTTTATTCCGTCATTTTTTTTGACACGTTTCACAGCTTTCACATTTTCAACAATTTCCACAAGTTATACATCAAAACGTTCCACATGTTTGGGAGATTATTGCTATTACTTTTGGGACTTCAGCGATTTCCGGTTTTTCCGCAATCGGACAAAAATCTGCATTGAGAATTCTGCAATGCATTTTAATAGGCCCATGCATTTTAATAGGACTTCAGCTCTTTCAGACATTTCTACAGTTTCAATGATTCAACAGTTTCAAGGATTCAACAGTTTCAAGGATTTCAGCAGTTTCAAGATTTCAAGAGTTTCAAGGACTTCAACAGTTTCAAGGACTTCAGCAGTTTCAAGGACTTCAGCAGTTTCAAGGACTTCAGCAGTTTCAAGGACTTCAGTGTAATCATGCAACCTAATAGGGATTTTTCCATGTAAACCAGTATAATGCAACTTAATAGGGATTTTTCCATGTAAACCAGTATAATGCAACTTAATAGGGTTTTTTCATGTAAACCAGTATAATGCAACTTAATAGGGTTTTTTTTCATGTAAACCAGTATAATGCAACTTAATGGGGATTTTTCCATGTAAACCAGTATAATGCAACTTAATAGGGGTTTTTACATGTAAACCAGTATAATGCAACTTAATAGGGTTTTTTCCATGTAAACCAGTATAATGCAACTTAATAGGGTTTTTTTCCATGTAAACCAGTATTATGCAACTTAATAGGGATTTTTCCATGTAAACCAGTATAATGCAACTTAATAGGGATTTTTCCATGTAAACCAGTATAATGCAACTTAATGGGGATTTTTCCATGTAAACCAGTATAATGCAACTTAATAGGGATTTTTCCATGTAAACCAGTATAATGCAACTTAATAGGGATTTTTCCATGTAAACCAGTATAATGCAACTTAATAGGGATTTTTCCATGTAAACCAGTATTATGCAACTTAATAGGGATTTTTCCATGTAAACCAGTATAATGCAACTTAATAGGGTTTTTTCATGTATAATGCAACCTAATAGGTTGCATTATACCACCAGACCAAGACCCAAACGAAGACTCAGACCACCACCAGATAATGACCACAGACCAGGTTTCCTTAGTTACAGGAACCAAATTGTTTCAGCGGTGAGGGGATTTTTCAGTTTCAAGGACACTTTCAATACATTCAGTAGTTTCAAGGATTTCAGCTGTTTAAGAATTTAACCAGTTTCAAGGATATCAGGAGGTTCAAGGATTTCAGGAGTTTCCACACTTTCAACAGTTTCCAGGTTTAAAAAAGTTTCAAGGATTTCAGGAGTTTCAATGTTTCAACAGTTTCAAGGATTTCAGGAGTTTAAAGGTTTCAACAATTTCAAGGACTTCAGGAGTTTCAAATATCTATCAAGTATTTTAACAGTTTCAAGGCTTTTTAAAGGATTTCAAGGATTTTTTTTAGCAGATTTCCACATTAGATCTGTTCCGCAGTCAATCGCAATGGCTTCAGCCATTGCAAGTTTCTAGTTTGTTATTTGTGAATCAAGATGATTGTTTCAGTAAGCTAGGCCTATGTTCAACATAACTGTTGCATTCTAATTGTTTATTTTCATATTTTTTTGCTAGAAAAGCACTCTCTCTTTAGCTTAAAGCCCTCAAGATTACATTGGTTTTATTTTTTATTTTATTGAATGCTAAACATCAAGTGTTTTATTCATCTGAAGGAAGAATAATAAGATGAATTTTTTTCAGTAAGTTAGATGTGTTTTCAAGGCTTCAAGGTTTTATGCTACCTCTGACTAAGAATGTCTTATTTTTGAATTTTAAAAGCAATAAATATATTTTGTTCAGGAGTTCATGTTTTTTCATTCAGATATGTAAATCAACATGTATACATTGATATTAGCCAATTAATGGGGAGATAATCGCTAATCGAATCAAATCAAAATTGAATCGAACTGAAAAAATTAATTGTTAGATTAATCGATGCATCAAAAAAATAATCGCTAGATTAATCGTTAAAAAAACAATCGTTTATCCCAGCCCTACTGTCAATATTTCTATAGAACACAGTAACATTTATCTATACATGAATTCTTTCTCATTTATTCTATTAATACATGAGAAAGACTTCAAGTGGCTCCCTGTACTTTCTGCTGCATCCCTGTGTCCAGACTCTTACCTCTCACAGACCTGGAGCTCCTCCTGGTCGTGTACCTCACTTTCCGGAGTGATGGGCTTGACCATAATGACCCCTGGTGAACGGTGTGAGTACACTGGTAGAGCACTGACACTGCAATAAAAAAAATGACGATTAGAGTGAAGAACTGCTGCTGTTATGATTGACATCTTTTGATCTGAGTGAGTCCTTTTTACACAGACTTCACTGTGGTCGCCTTGATGACCAGAGGAAATTGGACTACAACTACTCAAGTGGTTCATTTCTGCACTGTCAATATTTCTATAGAACACAGTAACATTTATCTATATATGAATTCTTTCTCATTTATTCTATTAATACATGAGAAAGACTTCAAGTGGGTCCCTGTACTTTCTGCTGCATCCCTGTGTCCAGTCTCTTACCTCTCGCAGACCTGGAGCTCCTCCTGGTCTTCTACCTCACTTTCCGGAGCGATGGGCTTGACCATAATGACCCCTGGTGAATGGTATGAGTACATTGGCTGTCCACTGACACATGGAGAAAAACATTACAATCAAAGTAAAGAACTGCTGCTGTTATGATTGAATTGTTTTGGTCTGAGTAAGTCCTTACAAAGTCTTTACTGCGGTCCCGTTGATGACCAGAGGTAAATGGACAATGGGACTGTCCTGAAAAAACTCCACTGTCTCTGGTGGAGCAAATGTTGGCATCACTCTGCAAAGAGAAGAACACAGTTTCATCAGATGTAAAGTTTGATATGAAGGAAAGGCCAGTTTTGATCTTGTGAATGATGCCATCCAACAACACCAGGACATACACCGAGAATACACTGAATATACATGAGTGATTTGAATGCCCTTACACACAGCATGCGTAATTTGAAGCAGATACCATAACAGGAGCCTTGCATATTTTTGACAGCGCAGTGACGCGGATCCAATCCAAATATGTACATGGGGAACATGTTTTTGCAAATGGCTTTTGATACTAAATCAGCTCAAGTTTTGTGAGGAAATGAGTCCTGTGCTCCAAACATGCGGTTTCTGACATCCACACATAACCAAGTGAAGTCTGTTCAGTTGTGCTGTGCACTTTTGTAAGTAAGTAATCTTTATTCATAAAGCGCCTTTAAGAGACCAGAGAAACACTGTACTGGATTTAAAGTGGGCAAACCTGCTGTTCTGGTGCTGCCATATTGAACTGCTGAGGTGTTTAGAAGGAGCATCTTGGGACTCCTCTTCAGCCTGCTCTTCAGCCTCCTCATCAGTCTCGCTGTCAGTTTCCTCCTCAGACTCCTCATCCTCACTACTTACAGAAAGAACAAACTTTTATAAAACACCATCCTCTGTTCTCTTTACTAACGTTTACTTTGTTGATACGAACAAGTCTTGAGTGATGAACATGTGATGAAGGATCTGGTCCGGCGTGATCCTGTCCGCGGCGTTGACTACAAACATCTCGTACAAAAGATCGGAGCAGGCCAGGAGATCATATTTTCTGTACATCCCTGAAGCAGCGACCTTGGCCTGTGTGGTGAGGAGTGGAAGACAATATTCAGAATACAGATGTAAGTGAAGGACTGGGAATAATTGAACATGAGTGACATCACAGCTGGTATGATTGTGTGTGTAGTAATAATAATGCATCGGTTTTATAAAGCGCTTTTTTGGACACTCAAAGACGCTTTACATGTGTCATTATTCATTCACTCCATACATGGTGATAAACTACTACACAGCCACAGCTGCCCTGGGGCACACTGACAGAAGCGAGGCAACCAGTATGTGCCATCGGCCCCTCCGACCACCACCAACCATTCACACACACACCAGACTCATTCTAGGCAATGGGGGTAAAGTGTTTTGCCTAAGGACACAACAGCAGTTTGGCACTTTACAGCCGCAGCCGCCCCACTGTGGCTGATGTTCCCAGAGGTTAAGTGTCTTGCCAAGGACACAACGACCCTCTGGCTCAAAGGCCAATGCTCTACCAACTGAGCTACTGTCGCCCAGTAGTAGAAGGCCTGCTGCTGTCTCTACACCATGTGTCCTTGTGTGGTTTATTTGCTGTTGTTTGTGTGTAACTGTTAAGTGTCATTATATATCCTCTTTTATGTCTATTTGGTTTATGCTTAATATATTAAGGCAGAAAATTTTCGTGTGTGGACAAAAAACCCTCCGCATTTTCTTGTGTGTGCGTTTCTGTGTGTTTGCTTGGATTTCATGTGTGTGTGTGTGTGTGTGAAAGAGGAAATTCTTTTGAATACACTGGAAACAGCAGCAAGTACTAAGTAGCTCTGAAACAGTTGTTGCTTTGTGCGTTACAGTTGTTATTTTACTTTTTTCTAGCTGTTTTAATTAATGCAGTGCTGTGTTCATGATTTTACACTGATCCAGACAGAGCAGAGACGATGCATGGTCTGAACCAAGCAGACCAAGTGTAAATCAACCAGAGGCGAGGAAGCAGCTCATAACCAGCGGCTACACCACCTCTGCTGCTGTGACCTTATTTGTTCCTTGTTTGTAATTTTTTGTATATATTTGTTTGTATGGATGTGTTTCTGCTGCTGGACACCTGAAATTCTTCTAGAAGGATCGAAAAAGTTTATTTCTATGAACAAACCTCCAGTAGATCCGTCAGTGACATGTGATCTCCAAGGATGGACGTCAGGACTTCAGCAGGGACCTGTCCAGTGAGTGCTGTGTATTCTTCATCAGTCTAATAAGGAAATATAATGACAGTGTTACTTCTCATTCATATGTCAAATGTACACCCCAGAAACACTCTTTACCATCAGTCTCCAGGTATCGTCGACCTTCTTGAAAAACTGATCGACATTAGGAGCTTCCTCCAGAACATGGTCAGCGGGCTGCTCCAGAAGCCTGACCAGGACCTTCAACTGCACACATGTATAAGTGTAGAAAGTGTAGTTAGACAGACTCTGGGACCATCAGAGGTTCCCTTTAACCTATACATATGGTTCTTAAGTGACTCACAGTCTCAAACGGCTTCTGCTCGGGGAAGATGTTGAATCCAAGTAACATGGTGACTGTGATATTTGCCAACAACCACACATCTATGGCCTCGGAGAAGGACAGGCCCAGGATGATCTCAGGAGCTCTGCAAGTGGACACATACACACATGAAACAAGAAGTCACATCTAAAGTAAGATCTCAAGGACTAGTCTGAATGGTACCTAAAGCTGGTGGGTGGCGGTACCATGATCTCCTTGTCAGCCCGCTTACTGCTAACAGCAGAACTAAAGTCAACCAGTTTGACTTTGATGGGCTCACGATCACACAGCCAAAAACTGTCCATGGTCAGATTTGTGAGGATGATCTTCATGGACTTCAAAAAGTTTAGAGCAGTCGCCGCCTAAACAAAAGCGGACACCTTGATTAGTTAGTGGCTACCTTTTCATTAGTTGTAATTGTAATTTGTGTACACCAAAAGAAAACAAAAATAAATATTCTTTCTTTGAAAGAACATTTATGATATGGTAGCCTGTTCCTACCTGCTGAACGATGGACCGGACCTCTTTCAGACCTATCTGATACTGGAGTTTTAAGAAACTAGACAAACTGAGGTCTAGATTCTCAAAGACCAGAGCCCTGTCAAAGCCGTACTCTGCGGTCATTAAATACTCCACGATGTTGCGTTGTTCAGCACCCTTATCCTTCATTCTCAGCAGCAGAGAAACCTAACGAGTTGAATATGATGAGGTTAGATAAGATAAGATAAGATTTGCTTTATTTATCTCACATAGGAGAAATTTACATGTCACATTTGGCATGGATAGAGACACTCAGATTGTGCAAAAGGAGGAAATGTGCAAACATGTAACATGCAGGATATTTGTACAATAAAGTGACAATAATTATGTGCAAGAAGAACATTAGTAGAACATTAGTAACACCTGATTGTGATGTGCAAATAACTCACCTCGTTTTTGAGCAGTTCTTGCGATCGTGGGACTCTGATGCACACAATCTGGCTAGTGTCCACCCGGCTGCACTTGAACATCTCACCAAAGTTTCCTCTTTCAAGAACATTGATGAAACGGAATTGAATGGGCATCGAAAACATATTCAAACTTTTCTCAAAAGAGTTAAAGCTCCTGCAATCACACATGGTAAGATTAAACTAATGGTACATAGAAATAACACATGTGGACAGAAATCATCCGAAGATTTTACAAAGAAAATCAGCTTTTTATGTATGTATGTCTAACTGAATGTCTATGTATGTCTTTGTGTCATTGATGTTGTTTTGTATGTCCTTTATTTCTGCAAATAAAAAAAGAAATAAAAAAAGAAAAGAAAATCAGCTTTTTCAACTTTTACTAACACCTAAATATGATATTTGTATTACAGGGTGTCTGTGGTACCCAGCAGGTGGCAGCTCTCTTAGAGAAAGGTGTCCCATCTTCATATCATGAGCTAATAGTGACTTTGCTAAGTCGATGGTGATCAAGATCATATTGTTAATAATTGTGTCAAACAGTTCTCCAACTGAAATGTTACATGAGGCATCTTCATCATTATTAGACTGACCCTTCATTCTCAGGAGAACCTCTTTGCTCTGTCGCATCACGCTGGTCCTCTTCCTCCTCTGGAGCCTCCTCTGGAGCCTCCTCTGGAGCCGCCTTTGAAGCCTTCTCTGGAGCCTTCTCTGGGGCCTCCTCTGGGGCCTCCTCTGGGGCCTCCTCTGGAGCTTTTTCTGGAGCCTTCTCTGGAGCCGCCTCTCTGTGGAACCAGCCACAAAGACACATGTTTAAAATACATTTTGTGATACATAGTATAGTATAGAGTACACTATCCACAGTTCAGAGGCAACTCACTGATGAGCAGAGATGAAGGGATGCTGCAGGACTTGTGTTGGAGTGATCCGCGTCGCCTCATTCACATCCAGCATCCACTTCAGAAGATCAATGCAGGTCTCCAGCTCCTGCATTTTGCAATTCATCTGAAAAAAACAACAAAAAATGAAGTTGACGGAGCCTATTACCACCAAAGGTCTTCCCCCTCTACTACCTCTGCCCACAGGGGCTAAAGAAGCATATATTACTAGGTGTGGTGCTGAGAACACAAGATTTTGAGGTGTACTTATCTCTATATCTGTGAGTTTGTTATTTGAATTTTGTTTATTCATCTGCATCTGATAATATATCAGTCATTTGAAGTCTTTGATTTAGATCTTTTCACCAAGCATTCACTCAGAAAAGAGCAGGCGTCACCAACACCCAGAGCGCCACTGACTACAACAGTGATAGGAGCACTTCAGATTGTTCTCACGACAGGCCGCAGGAACAAAAACACTTAGCCTCAATTATCAAACAAGAACAATGTATTTACTCACCCTTAGCTGATTCCACAGTGATGGCCCAGAACGGGAATGCTGCATGTTATAATTATTTGAAGAGGCAAATTCTTCTTTGGTCTATATTGAATACAAAGAGATGTTATAGTTTTTATTATATTTCAAGCATTTCTGAAATGATTTGAAACCTTTCACGTACCTTTATCCTCCATCCACTGGGAGTGTCAACAAAGAACGTGGGTGCTTCAATGCTTTCCTCAAGCATGCCATGACTCGGTGAGCCGACGAGAAGGACGATGGTTCTCATCTGAACAAACAAACTTAGTTATTAATGAGTCGTCCACATGAAAGATTCTTTAAAATACGACCAGTGACTTACTGCTTCAAACTCGGTTCTCGGCCTGAACACAGATCTGTCCAGCAGTAAGTTGACCACTGAGACTCCCAGAGACCAAATGTCTACGCCTGCATTGTAGTCCAGACCTAAGAGGACTTCAGGAGCTCTGAGAAAAACACACAAACATGAAGTGATCAGAGGAGAAAGTGACGCTTTAACATCAGGCTAATTATAATGTACCACACTGGGGAGATAAGATGTTTAAGTTACAGTTGGCGGAAAATGATCTATTCCATTATTTTAGTTATAGTGCATATAATAGAGATGGGCCGATAGTGACTTACATCGGAGTGGTCTCCACCTTTAAAGATGGGAGTAACCCTTGCAGTTTTCCAGATGAGAGGGACAGAGCACGTACTACACCGCGTGAGTTGTGGGGTCCCTGTGTCTTTTTATTTATTTTATTTATTTATTTTGTATTCACTTTTATCTATTAATTGTTATTAATTCTGTTTTATTGTATCTTTTTAGTGTTTTTATTGATTTTACATGGATTATATTAATTGACTGGTTGAGCTACATGGAGTTTTTTGTGTACTTTTCTTTCTTTTTGTGTGTGCAGCACTTTGGAACTGTTCTGTTGTTTAATGTGCTATAGAAATAAAGCGGATTGGATTGGATTAGTGACAGGTGAAATAGGTTGGTTTGAGGATAGATAAGCACACTGGATCCCAATAAAAGGTATTTTACTTCTTATGCTGCTTTCAGACCGCCAACGCTGGAACGCTGAAGCCTCACTCACCAGACGCATTCTCTAGTTTTCAGACGCAGGGGTCTTCAGACCAGAAATATATTTTTACATTATCTCCTGGTGGTGTGCCGCGAGATTTTAAAAAAAGAAAAAGTGTGCCATGGTTCAAAAAAGGTTGAAAAACATTGAAATAGATAACATAGCATTATTAATGGACTTTTATGTATGGATCAGATTTGGTTTGAATCAAAAGTGATTAATAATAAACTATAGTTGTAGTATAGTTTTAAGAAAGAAACACAAATAAACAACATCTGCAGCATAAAAACTAAAACAGTTCTAACCACATGGTAGTCTCTTGAGTACCAGTTGCCCTCGCCATAGACAAATACAAAGTCACCACCTCCTGCTGAAGGGACAGCAAGTGAGTTCCTTCAGCCATATATTTGGCTGAAAGAACGCTATGATGTGTCCTTTTGAGTCCAATCCGAGTCAGTCATTGTTGGGGTTGTCTGTCTGTTTACGACGTTGTACCTTTTGTCATTATTCATTGACAACATAGAGCGACAGAACTCACACTGTGCTTTTACACAAATGTAATAAAGGAAAGTGTCTGTGTCAGACCATTCCAAGTAAATAGGATAAGAGTAAGAGGTTCACCGGTACGGCAGAGAGGTGATGATTGACCCGGGCTCTATTGAGCTCCGGTGCTCGGCCAGGCCAAAGTCGATCAGCTTCAACTGGAGGCTTCCACTGCGGTGATCACAGACCATTATGTTGTCCGGCTTTATGTCAGTGTGCAGGAGGTCTGCAGCTCTCAAGATCCTCAGAGCTGAGCCCATCTGTAGCATACAAACACAGTTTTACATAATATATCTTTAGAACAGACATAATCTTTGCTTAAATTTATTTGAACATGTTCAAAAAATATTTTTTAAATATGTCATAAAGAAGTATGTGAAGGAAAGAGCGTGAGGCCCACACATGTATGTGTGCTTGTGTGAGTGTGCTCATGCGTGTCTGTGTGTGTGTGTGTGCGTGTGTGTATACGCTGAATGGGTGAGTGTGGAGGGACCTGTATTAACGTGTATTTCATTCGTCCCTTTTTCAAACTGTATATGTTGTTTTATCATTCTTAATGAAAGAATAATGAATAAATGCACTTGTCATTCAAATGTTTCATTATAACATCTCTTTTAGTTTGAAGACCTGGTCACAAATGAAATGTGATAAGTTCTTACCTGGCGAATGAGAGCTCTGACATCACACAACCGCAACCCATTTGGAGAAACTTTCGTCTTGTACTCCTTCAGATTCATGTCGAGGGCCTCCAGAATCAGCGCTGGTCCAAACGGTGTGGGGAAGGAACCCAAGAAACTGATGATATTTTCATCCAAGTCCCTGAGTAAGGACAATACCTCCTTCTGCAGAGACACACGATAGGTTTTTTACATATCTTGTGTCCCTAAAATGGTGATTATGCATTAAAATTATGTTTTATTTATTTGTGATAATCATGGCCTACGGTACAAGAGTTAATACAGCTGTGAGTCTTTTATAATGATCAACAAATATAGACTCAATATATGTCACATAACGTGTAATGAGTTTGTCATGTAATTATCCCACTCCATTTAATAGGCTAGTGATACAACTACTGGTACAAGAAGTGGTCAATGTTGTTACTTCAGTAAAAGTTTAAGCACAAAATATTACATTATCTAAGTAGAGACATTCATTTTAATAATTTCTAAGTTTTCATTTCATTTTTATTTATTATTTTCATGAAAATGCTGTTGCACTTATCAGCTTCATATATAACATATATTATACATTTGCAGGATACATTTCCATGATTGGAAAGGAGCAGAGAGGAAGAAAAAAACTGCTTTGAGTTTGATTTTTTTATCAATACTTTGACTAACATGGAATGCTGGTAACTGGCATAATAATAACTAACACAATCATAATCAACGTAATGTTATTTATTTATTTATTTGGGTTTTAAAAGGAGGTACAATGCATATTAATGTAACCTAAACAACAAATTCACTTTTATGTATGCATTAAACTAATAAATTGTAATTTTAAAGTCATTTACTTTCTCCAAACTAAAACCAAATGTTGCTAACTGACAAAGCTAGACTGGGTTAGCATAACGGCTATTGTTTGCTAATGCCCGATCCTCTTTGCTAAGGAGGTTCAGAGCCTCTAATTAAGACAAATATGGGATATAGTAGGTTATTGATAATATAATCACTTAAGATAATGTACTTTAGTAGGTTTTACAGTAGTTACAATGGTTTTAATCAGTGAAATGGAGAGACTGCAGTAGACTAGCCTGTATGCTACATGCTATGTGCACGCTACATGTCATGGTTAAAATTGAGAGATGCTTACCTCCATCATGGCCGCGGATTTCATGGCCAGGTTGTGAGGCACCTTGACGGCCACCTCTGTGACACATCTGACCACTTTACCATGAGCCCCTTCTCCTAACACCTGCTTGATGGTAAAGTTCTTGGGGATGAGTGAAGACATGTTCGAATCACTGCAAAAGTAATATTCAAGTTAGTTATTTTGGTTAACCCACAGTTCAGTCCAAGATGATTACATCAGTACCATTTCTATTAAAATGACAACAAAAGAAATGTTTAGATTGTTAAAAGCACACTGTTATTAAGGTCTTGTTGGTTTAGAAGTCAGTCTGGCTCACCTGAATGTATTACAAAGATTTTCAGAAATTAATCTCTGCTTTGAAAAACACGTCTTGTCTGTTTGACTGCTCTGTATAAACTGAGGAGAATCAGTTCTTAGCTTCTAAAGTCATATCTGAGATTCTAGATTAGCGCATTACACTGTCTCCACGGCAACGGAATTATGGAACCATTACATCATCATTTTAGCAACTTTTATACAAAACAGTGAATATAATTTTATTTTTCCCAAAAGAATGTGTCTTGCAAAAGTAAAATGACCAAATCAGACCACCACATGCTGTTTTTTTTATTTTTTTTAATCTTTTTTGCATACTTGACTCTATTTGAGTATGTGTTTTTTAAACATACTTGTGAAAACTGGCGAGAGAACCAAATCAAGTTTGACATGAATCGTCCTTCGTTTGTCCTTTGTTACAAAGATGGCTGACACGCTCAACTACACAATACTATTCTTTAAAGTACGCTTAGAATCTGTGCAGCATACAGACTGATGGTTGAGAGCAGAATAGCGACAGAGCACTTTGAGGGCGCCTCGACCTCTTGGAACGAGTACTGAGACTATATTTCAATAGCTCATTATTTTAATTATATTTGTGGCCATACCTGCATGTGAAAGCCAGATCTTGTTGGACCTCTGCAAAACCTGGTTAGTATTCTGATGGGAGACCTCTGGGAACACCAGGTGCCACAGTTGTTGTGTCCTTAGGCAACAAGACACTTCACCCACCCTAATTAATTTCTGTTATATTTCAGCTTCAACTTATAATTTTGTTTAGCTACTTCATCCAAAGAAAATAGCAGTTGATAAAACTACATAGACTGCTTCAAACTATGAGACATGTTAATGTTTTCGTTCTGCTAACCAATTTGCAGCCATGCCCATATCATGAAATCAAACTTAGTCCGAAAAAGTCCTCTGAGGGACAGGAAGAAAATCTCTTATAAAATAGATTGAAATTTTATTTTAGTTAGAGGTATGAGCTGAAAAGTGTATCTTTGTTTTGGATGTTAGGCAAGGAAAGGCAAGTTTATTTGTATAGCACAAATCATACACAAGGCAATTCAAAGTGCTGAACAAAATAAGAAAGCATTAAAATCATAAATAATCACAGAACATAAAAATATAAAATCCCTCAGTTGTATGCACTGCTAAACAGGACTGTTTTTAACCTGGTTTTAAACATTGTCAGAGAGGAAGCCTGTCTCACATCTTCAGAATGATTGTTCCAGATTTTAGCAGCATGAATCTGAAAAGCAGCCTCCCCATGTTTAGTCCTGACTCTGGGCACTAACAGGAGTCCAGTCCCTGTGCTCCTCAGAGTCCAGGCCGGTTCATATGGGACTAACATGTCACTAATATATATTGGTGCAAGGCCATGGAGAGACTTGTACACAAGCAGAGCTGTTTTAAAGTCTATTCTCTGAGCTACAGGAAGCCAGTGCAGAGACCTGAGGACTGGACTAATATGGTCGTACTTCCTGGTTCTAGTCAGGACTCGAGCTGCTGCATTTTGAATGTACTGCAGCTGTTTTACAGCCTGTTTGGACAGACCTGTGAGCAGGCCATTGCAGTAGTCTAACCTACTGGAGACAAATGCATGGATAAGAATCTCCAAGTCTGCTTTAGACACTATGTTTTTGATCCTGGCAATGTTTTTTAGGTGGTAAAAAGCCGCTGATGTTACTGATTTAATGTGGCTATTAAAATTTAAGTCTGAGTCCAGTATACAGGGATCAAGAGTTCCGAGCTACCGGCTCGACCGCACGGCATTGTGAGTAGTCTTCTCAAAAAAGTGGGCTTGAAATCTTTAGAAGAACATTTAGAAGGTAAGGTAAAGATTTTTTCATGTAACAAAAAAGCAATGCATTTTTTTCTTGTGGTTTTAGATGTAAACACAACCGACTGACTATAGAGCTACACGCAGCTTATGCTACATACGAGGATCGAATTACACGTGAGCTTTATAAACTTACCCAAAGCTGTACTTTGGACATAGAGCCCTCAGAGCGTTTCATGAACTTATTAATAACATTTCTGATCAGAGCATAGAGTGGGGACATTATTAAGAACAAACAGTGAGCTGGCAGTATAGAGAAGTGTGCAGTAGGCTTTAAACAAAGTTATTTTCACTTTCTCTGTACACATGTGAAATCTCCGTGCTTCAGTGTTAGCCTGTCCATACAGCTTGCAGTACTGCCTCTGAATGTCATCGTCATCACTGCGGTCACTCCTGATTACGTGCCCCAGGTACAGTAGGTCCCATTTCGTTTTGTCGCCTTTCACGCGTGAATAGCACGAGACTCAAGTGTGAAACACGCGTCTTTTATTATTTTTTCCCCCAGTGATGCTGCAATGACCCAAAAAACCACCAGGTGGCACTTGTGAGCAGTGCCACCTTGAGCTTTATGACACCCAGTCATAAAGCTCAAGTCTTTGGCGCAGGAGGACCTGGGTTCGAGTACAAGTTAAAGACTTTTGATACAACTCCACAATCAGCACCAAGTTATGAAGATAAAATTATTCCACTTTTGTACTGGCTTTTTATCTTTGCAGGGTTAGGAACATTGTCGGAAAATCTTCTGCTTTTAACCTCTTAACTCCCACCTGAAACCGAGCACGTTTTCTCCAGGTGTACATTTTGGGTGTATATTCCATTTACGCAAAATCCAACGTCGGATTTATGAACGTGTGAGATCCGCCCAGTTCTGAGCGTACGCAGCTGCGGGTGTTGATAAATCGGCTGAATACGAACGTATTTAGTCACGCCTAGAATTATGCAGCAATCGCGTGTTTCACGCCCCGTCTTCGTGACAGGTCAGCAGGAAGCCGGCCAAAAAGACTGTTTGGAAGCCTCAAAAGGCACGTTTGTTTGTTCATGTTTATGTAATAATAAATATGCGCTATATATTCAGCTGCGTTTTGAACAAGTTTGCTAAAATGTTTTGATACATTAGAAAAATCTTTCTTGAATTGTAGAAGTGAATAAATATAGATTGATTGAATGAATTAATTAATTCATATATATTATCCAGAGGTGGCTCTCATGAATGAAGCGTCTGCAGCGTCTTGGACGCAGCCTGGCTCGGGGTAGAAGTGCGCATTGAAGCGCTGTACACTTCAGAGAGCGTTTGCGGTCCAGATTTCACAAAGAAAATCTGGAGCCAAAACTTCTGCACATGTGGCGCGACCTCTCACGGCACTCGCTGCGCACTCTGGACAGGGCAGTGAGACATTTGTGAGTGAGCAATACCATCGATGCGTTATTGGGGTGTGTGTCTGTGTGAGGCTTACACGAATCTAATGAAATAACACATTGCTTTACCAGATGTGAATGAGGAATACAAATAGCCGTGCGTAATTACGCAGCGCAGAGCCTGCCACAGCAATAGATGGGTCACACATCCCTGTTGCGTAAAGTGTATTTATATAGAGCCTTTGACTGTCCAGGATCACAAAGCGCTTCACATTTTAAAAACATACAGATCAAAATAATACACACACAAGTCAGATTTAATAGAAGGTTCTCATCATGAGCTGTGATTTATTCGAAGTTTGCGTGTTTCCATTAGACTTTTTCTGATGCGCAAATTCAAATTTTGAAACATGATCCTCAATGAAAACACAGCATATAATTTTGTCAGAGGGAATATGTTTATTGTTGTCCATATCTTGAATTTCATGCGTGTTTTGGCGTGTTGTGCCGAAGGTTGAGATCAGTGTAGATTTACACCACCTCCAGACCTGGCGTATATTTTTTGCGTATTGTACGCTCACGTCCAGATAGATAAATGCGGAAAAGTGTAATATTTTGCGTACGCCTCATTTACACCCTGATTTGGCCGTACGCAAGTTTCATACATGAGGCCCACACTGTGTCTCACACAGGCCTAGAGTTTACCTCATCAGTGCGAGGCAAGCCTGGCCTGACCGCGCTCTCCTCCTCTGGGACGTAGCCAGAGGCCCGGGCCTCTGGCTACTCTACCTCACAAAGTTCACGCTGAACTGTCTTAAAACTAAAACGAAAAAGGCTGCTCTGTTGTGAATGTTTTGAGAGCGTTGTCAATCTTTAAGACGAGGAATAGCTGGTTGTTCTCGGGAACGAGCTTCACGCTGTGTGATATGATATTGGACAAAATTGTTCAGCCAAAAAACAGGACTATATTTGAAGCAACGTAGGAACGTGATGACGCTCAGGGGGTTATATTTTCTTAAAACATTAGAACGCAACATTTAGGCTTTAGCAATAATTTGTGTGTAAAAATAACAATATTTAAATTATGACTTTTAATAAAAAAGGCTAATGACTTGAGAGGCGAAGAACAAATTTGAGTAGGCCAAGAAAAAAACTGGTAGGCACCGGCCTACCCAGGCCTATCCCTGCCGCCGCGGCTGGCGCACAGGCTCTTCTGTCTTTAGGACAGATAGATTTCAGATAGAAATTGCTACTCAAAAGGCGCTCTTACTGTAGACGCTGCTGTTGTAGCGAGGGCTGACGCAGCCTCAGCTCCCGATCTCGGCGGAGTTTTTGAAGTGTACAGTAACTCTACCGAATACAATTACTCAAAATGAGTATTCTAACAATTTGAAAGTTATACCAGTTATGCCACTTACTTTGAAATAGCATTCAGTAGCGACACTTTTAAACATAAAACACATTCTCACGATATTGCTAATACAAATTTATGATGGGGGGAAAACTTTCTTTCTCCGTGTTTTACAAATATAATGGAGTTGGCTGAAGAATGTCTGCTTAGTTTCTGAACTGTATTGAACTAGATTGACCAGGGCTCGAGTCCACAGGAATGTCGAAAATCCAGTTAATCTTCACATATGCAAAACATCTTCACATAGCCTATCACTCAGGCGAGCAAAAACCGAGCACGTTTTCTCCAGTGTTAAATAAAAAAAACTTAGTAATTAGGCCAACACATTTAAAATAGTTGCTAGATTGTAGTAAACTGTTGTAAACTTCACAATCTGCACCAACCAAACTGCAGGAAAAAAATGCAACTTTATTCAGTAACGGAGTAATCTGATTCATATACTCCCCCCGCTAATAAAAATTGAGGATTGGCCGGGGCTCAAACCCCGATCGTCCAAGCGAAAGTCTTGGACAATCCTGCTACGCCACACAGGCGCTGGAGAAAACACTGGATCTAATAGGACAGACCGCTGAGTTAATGAGCCGTGCGGATGTGCGGGACGCTTAAAATGCCTTATATGCAAGTTAATGCAAATGTTTGCCATATGATCTGCTACTCATGTGCATTTTAGAATTCCTAATTAATGGTAGCTATATGTAACATGTGTAGTTTCATTTTTTGTAATTATACACAGCCTATATATTGCTAATCAAAGTAAAAGTATTCAGAATACAGTGTACACTCGTGTTTGTTTTGTTCCAATGTTTCACGTTCAATAACGCACTTGCTGCTGGCTATCCCATACTGTAGAAGAACTTTTGAGAAGAAGTGTTTTTATTAAAAAATAAGAAGTAAAAATAAGTAATAAAGTAATGTGAGAAATCCCTCAACCACACCCCTCTGCTGGCTCCGCCCCCCCCCACACCTACACACCTGGGTGCAATTAGGCAGTCATTTTAAGTCCTGGAAGCCCATTGTTTCCCCTTTCATTTCAATCCAGGCTATGGATCAGCATGCGTCATGTGAGTTTCAGTTGATTCCCATTTTAGTTTCATTGTTAATTTTTGTTAATATGCAATTTGTTTCTGCTTTGTTGCAGTGTATAAAAACCATGTCTGATGCCATATTAAATCCTTAAACTGATCCTGTCTTGAGACCTTTTATTCACTTGGGCTTTTTTCACCGGCTATTTATTCAATTACAATTTTACATGGTCCTTCGAGCGGGATATGCCCAAGATGGATAAAGCCATACAGGTCTCAAGAAGTGCACCTTCTCTTCTGCTGCCCACTCATGATAGCCAAGATGGGGGAGGAATGGAGTACACAGGCAGCTTCCGTTCACTGCATGGAGCAACTGCAGCACAAGGCACCACCGTGAAGCCAGTCTCATATGACGTCCAGTCACAGCATGGGATTCACACAGTGGACACCGGAGGCGCAACTACTGCTCTACATGAACTAGGAGCTCGTCCTAAACAGAAATCCAGGATTCCGAACCCAAGCCTGAGGAGCAGTGGAAGGCAAAGGAGGATTCCGGCACATTTCAAAGACTATGAGGTCAGTCTGTTGCCAAAACAATATGACGCACATTCCCAGTCTGATATTGCGGAGTCACTGTCTGATGGAAGCACATTTTCTAAACGCAGTCGGAGACCAATGGATGCGTTAAAAAAATCCCTTGACCAATCAGAGCTGGCCCAGGTGGAGGAGAGGCTCAGACACATGGAGTTGGATGAACTCCATCGTCAGCAGCAAGAGGAAGAAAAGGCTGAGGAGTGTCTACGCCGCATGGATACACAAGCCAGAGAAGCTTCCATGGCCCGTGAGAATGTATCTAACAGTTTGACTCGAGCCAGACGCATACGCCAGGCAGAGAGAGATTATGAGGAGGCAAGGATGGTGTCCCAGCTTCTGAAATATCCTAGTCCTATGCTTCGGTCCAGCACCAATCTACGACCAGAGAGCGCCATGTTAGCGTCGGGACTCAGTCTGCATGAAGCGCCTCAGCCTGTCCGTCTCCAGCCTCCTGCGCCTCAGCCTGCGCCTCAGCCTGCGCCTCAGCCTGCGCCTCAGCCTGCGCCTCAGCCTGCGCCTCAGCCTGCGCCGCTCCAGTCGCCGGCTCCGCTCCAGCCGCCGGCTCCGCTCCAGCCTAGTCCAGAAGCAGACATGGCCTCCACTCCCTCAGCGTCATCTCTGTCCCATTCTGTCCCATCAGCTCCTCCGATACAAGTCCCTGTAAATGCTGGTTATTCCCCAAATATGACTGAACTGTTGATAGCAACGACCTACGGCATCCCAAAGCCGCAGCTCCCTCGATTTGACACCGGCAAGGAAAGTGACTTTTTGTTATTAAAGATGGCCTTTGACAGCTTACTCGGGAACCACCCTCATTTATCCGAGCAGTATAAGTACCAGATCCTACTTGAGAGACTCAAGCATCCACCTGCTTACCAACTGGCCAGAGCTCACATTCATCATCCTCAGCCATACACCTCAGCCATGCATGCATTGACTTCACGATACGGGCAGCCACGTCACTTGATACAGAGTGAGATAGCGCGCATTCTCAACTCTGCGTCTGTTAAAGCAAAGGATGTGGCTGCGTTCGAAGAGTTTGCTCTGGCTGTACAGTCTCTGGTCGGACTACTTATCTCGATAGAAGGAAGGTATGGTACAGAAGTAAGCTGTGGATCGCATGTGGACAGGCTTCTGAGCAAATTACCATCTAATTATCGTGATTCCTTTGTTGAACATTGTATTCAGAGGGGTATCTTGCAGGATGGTGTTTTTCAAACTTATACGTTGAATGATTTGTCTGTGTGGTTGCAGGTTAAAGCTCGTGCTCGCCGCTTGTCTCACAACACAACTTTTGCTGCTGAGTGGGACAGGAGGGAGGTACGAAACAATCCCAAACCTCCACCACGGGAGTTTGCTAGGCCAGCTACCATGTATTTGTCAACCGAGACGAAGGCGGCTCCCATGCAGAATGTTTCCCTCAACCCTGTGGAGAAGCATCCAAAGAAGGCAAAATTCCAACCCTATTGTCCTTTCTGTAACACTCATGAACACTTTCTCAATCTTTGCCAGAAGTTTGCCAAGCTGACGGTGGAGGAGAGGCGCTCTTGGATCCGTGAAAACAGACGCTGTTGGAAGTGCTGTAGAACTCACCCTCCGGAGGCTTGTACACTGAAGAGGCCATGCGGAGTGTGCAGCCAGCTTCACTTGACAATTCTGCACGACACTTTGACTCCCGCCGGCCAGTCGTGTCTCATGGTGAGCATGCCCAATCCTGACCTTTATCTTGACCGTCCAAATCGTTCTGCACGTGTCATTCTCAAAGTGGTTCCTGTTGTTCTTCATAATGGTGACTTCCAATTTGAGTCTTATGCCATCTTGGATGACGGGTCAGAACGTTCCATTATTCTGCCTTCAGCGGTAGAAGCACTCTGTCTTTCAGGCCAGTCAGAAACCCTAAACCTTCAGACTGTGCGTCATGATGTTCTTCAGGTGCAGGGCACAAGAGTAAGCTTTTCCATTTCACCAATTGATGACAAGTCCACCACGTATAAAGTGAAGAATGTTTTCACCGCTGATGTTTTGAATTTGATGAAGCATTCTTGCCCTACTGCAGCATTGCAGAAGCGCTATGAACATTTGAGAGACTTGCCATTGCCAATTCTTGATGGGGTTCAGCCTACGGTCCTTCTTGGGTCTGATCACCATCATCTCATTGTCCCTATTGAACCTATTAATTTTGGGCCTTCGGGCAGTCCATCTGGTGTCCATACTGCACTTGGATGGGCTCTTCAAGGTCCTTCCTCAGTCAACCCTGCTTCAGTCCCAGACATGCAATGCCTTTTCACTGCTACCCCTTTCTCAGATGATGTGATGAGAAACGTGGTGAAGTTATGGCAGCTGGATACGTTCCCTCGGCACAACGAGAAGGAAGTGACCCGATCAAAACAAGATCAGTATGCTCTTGCACTTTTGGACTCTAGGACACAAAGACTGGAGGTAGATGGCCAGCTGCGGTATGTCACTCCTTTGCTACGCCACCCTCAGTTTCCCTCTCTTTGCTCAGACCCGGCTTCCTTCCTTCCGGTTCTTCTGAGGGCAGAACATAGGCTTAGGAAAGACCCTGTGTTGTCCAAAGTACACTCAAGAGAAATCGAGATGTTGCTTGAAGCAGGCTATGTAACCCAAGTAGATACTAAATCGGCTCTTGGCACAGAATCCTGGTTTCTCCCACATCATGTGGTGTCCCAGCACAATGGCAAACACAGACTGGTGTTTAACTGCTCTTATAGTCACCAGGGCCAAAACCTGAATGATTGCCTTTTACCTGGTCCAGTCCTTGGACCATCATTACTTGGTGTGCTTCTTCGTTTCAGACAGCATCAAGTGGCCGTTATAGCAGACATCAAGGCAATGTTTCACCAGGTGCGTTTGCTCCCTGAAGACACCCCCCTACTCCGGTTTTTGTGGAGAGACCTGAAGCCGGATGAACCGACAGTCTATGAGTGGCAGGTCTTACCGTTCGGTACCACTTGTAGCCCGTGTTGTGCGATCTATGCTCTCCAACGGCATGCCAAAGATCACCTTGACCCAGAGAACAACCTTCGGAAAGCAGTCGAACAGTCATTTTACGTCGATAACTGTCTACACAGCTTCCCTTCGGCAGATTCAGCACAAAGATTTGTTGAGGATCTGCGCTCTTTCCTTCTTACTGGCGGCTTTGAAATCCGACAATGGGCAAGCAATGACCCTTCTGTAGTAGAAAATCTTCCGAAATCCGCTCGTTCCAGTTCCTGTGACCTGTGGCTTTCTCACACAACCAATGACCCACAAGAACCAACGCTTGGTCTGCGATGGAACTGTCGTACTGATGTCTTCAGTTACAGATGCAAAGCTCTCTCTTTTGCCAATCCGAGTCCAACTCTGAGAGATGTTTATCGCATACTTGCCAGTCAGTATGACCCTTTGGGGTACATTCTTCCCTTTCTCACCCGGGCCAAGGTGTTTGTACAAGACTTGTGGAGCTCCCCAAGAGGATGGGACGATCCTATTGTAGACCCTGCTTTGGCCGATAGATGGAACACTTGGTATGATGAACTTGCATTGCTCCCTCAAGTTGTCTTTCCTCGGTGCTTTGAGTCGACTAGTCTAGAGCTGTCAAGCATTAAAAGAGAGCTTCATGTCTTTTGTGACTCTTCTGAGCGGGCTTATGGGTCGGTAGCTTACCTTCGATCTGAAGATCATCTTGGCCAGGTGTCTGTCTCCTTTGTCATGGCCCGGTCCAGGATTGCCCCTCGGAAGCAACTCTCCATGCCCCGCCTGGAGCTCTGTGCAGCAGTGAGTGGTGCTCAACTCGCTACCTTGTTGCAGAAGGAAATACACCTTCCCATTCAGAGAGTTCAGCTTTGGAGTGACTCAACCACTGTGCTGCAATGGATACAATCTGATTCCTGTAGATACAAAGTCTTTGTCGGTACACGTATTGCTGAGATACAGGAGCTGACCTGCACTGAGGATTGGAGATATGTGGGGAGTGCACTGAACCCCGCGGATGATTTGACACGAGGTAAAACTCTTTTGGAGATTATTCAGCCACAGCGGTGGGGTCTGGGGCCACCCTTCTTATTCCAGGACCAGACCCACTGGCCACAATGCCCAGTCAAGGGGAAGGAAGAGGACCTCAACGAAGTAAAGACCAACCGGCTGCTCCTCCTGTCAACTCAAACTATGCCCCATGCCATAGACATTTCCACCTGCACTACGTGGACTGAGGCCATTGCAGCTGCGGTCCAGGTGTTGGACAGCACTTCAGTCTCCAATCCAGCCATCGAAGCAGAAATCCTTCTCCTGAAACGAGCACAGCAGGAAAGCTTTCCAGCCGAATTCACGGCTCTGCAATCTGGCAAATCTGTGTTACCGTCAAGTAGGCTGTGTTCCTTTTCCCCCGAATTCGATCCAGTTTTGAAACTCATCCGTGTTGGAGGGCGGCTGAGAAGGGCTTCTGACCTGGACCCAGATGTCATACATCCTGTGGTTTTGGACTCAAACCACCACCTCACAAAACTTCTGATCCAGAACTACGATGAGGAGCTCTTACATCCAGGATCTGAGCGTCTCTTTGCCGAACTGCGGCGTAAATACTGGATAATCAAGGGTCGCTCGGCAGTCCGTCAACATCAACGACTGTGTCAGCAATGTCAGAAGTGGCGTGCCTCTCCCGAAATGCCGAAAATGGCGGACCTACCTCCTGCCAGACTCAGGCTTTTCCAACCGGCCTTCTGGTCTACCGGTATAGATTGCTTCGGCCCTTTTCTAACCAAAGTCGGAAGGAGAACGGAGAAATGTTGGGGTATTGTTTTCAAGTGTATGACAACCCGATGTGTCCACTTGGATGTCCTCGAAAGCCTGGATGCCGATGCCTTTCTTATGGCCCTACGTCGCTTTGTGGCGAGAAGGGGAAAACCTTATGAGGTCTTTGCTGACTGTGGCACCAACTTCCGTGGAGGGTATGCAGAGTTGAAGAGGGCATTCAAAGACATGGTCCCAGAGCTCCAAGAGAAACTGGAGAAACAGCAGATTATGTTTCATTTCAACCCTCCAAGTGCACCACACTTTGGCGGCCTATGGGAAAGGGAGATAAAATCAATTAAGGATGCTCTACGAGTTGTCTTGGCCAACCAATCAGTACCACAGCCCGTTCTGCGAACCGTTCTGATCGAGGTAGAGGGAATAGTCAACTCCAAGCCCCTAGGTTATGTGTCCACTGATGTCGCCGATCCAGACCCTGTGACTCCAAACTTGTTGTTGATGGGGCGGCGGGATTCCCCCTTACCACAAGCGGTGTATGCCAGCAGTCAAGTTGTTGGGAAGCGGCGATGGCGTCACAGCCAGATTCTTGCAGACCACTTCTGGACTGGATTCGTCCGCTATCACCTTCCCGATCTACAGCCCAGACCAAAGTGGAAGGTGGACAAGGAGAATCTCCAATGCGATCAAGTGGTCCTGGTAGTCGACCCTCAATTACCTCGATCTTCCTGGCCTGTAGGAAAGGTGATAGAAACTTTCCCAAGCGCTGATGGCCGTGTACGGTCCGCCAAAGTCCAGGTCAAGCAGCAGACCTACCTGCGACCCGTTTCCCGCCTTATACCCCTCCCAGAAGTCAAGGACGAGGTTTGAGGGATTCTGGAACAAAACTGCCGTTTCGGGGGCGGCTGTGAGAAATCCCTCAACCACACCCCTCTGCTGGCTCCGCCCCCCCCCACACCTACACACCTGGGTGCAATTAGGCAGCCATTTTAAGTCCTGGAAGCCCATTGTTTCCCCTTTCATTTCAATCCAGGCTATGGATCAGCATGCGTCATGTGAGTTTCAGTTGATTCCCATTTTAGTTTCATTGTTAATTTTTGTTAATATGCAATTTGTTTCTGCTTTGTTGCAGTGTATAAAAACCATGTCTGATGCCATATTAAATCCTTAAACTGATCCTGTCTTGAGACCTTTTATTCACTTGGGCTTTTTTCACCGGCTATTTATTCAATTACAATTTTACAAGTAAAATACAATTGTATTGTTACAGTACTTACAATACAGTGCAGTAAGTTAGTACAGTGTTTTACAGAGTCAATCCTTTGACTTGAAACCGCGTTTTGATAGGCCCGAAGTGAGCAAAAAATTCTTTTGACAAGGAAAGAAGATAACAAGCTGATAACGTTACGTAATTGCACACAAGCAACCAAAAGGTGTGCAACCAAAATTGCCTCAGACAAGAATCGAACCCAGATCCCCCGGATCCTAACCTGCAACTCAAACCATTCGGCCAACATAGTATCACTAGGTAGTTAACGTTTGCACGCAGACTTATACCTGAGCGTTTAAGTCGCTGGCAGAGCTAAAGCGGACTTAACCTGCCACCTTGTGGCGATAAGATGTAATATGTTTCACGCAGCTGCGTGATTCATGAAAAGCGTGGTGTGAAGACGACAAAACGAAATGGGACCTACTGTATTTGGCCTTTTCTACATTCATAAGCTCTACACCAGACAAATATGTCCAAAGTACAAATATGTCCAAAGTACAGGTAATCTAATTGGAGAGCGTGATTTCATGCCCACTTTTTTGAGAACACTACCTACAATGCCGTGCGGTCGAGCCGGAAGCTCGGAACTCTTGATCCTTGTATTACCCCTAGATTTCTGACCTTGTTTGAAGATTTCAGAGAGTGTAGGTGACTGTAGGTGACAGATGACGCTCTCTCTTGGTTTCTGGGGACCAAAGACAATCATTTCAGTTTTGTCTGCGTTTAGCTGAAGGAAGTTGTTTTGCATCCACTCACTGATCTGTTGGATACAGTGAAGGAGTGAGTCCACTGGTCCATGTTCTCCTGCAGTCAGTGAGACATAGATCTGAGTGTCGTCTGCATAGTTGTGATAGGACACTTGGTTTCTGCGTATTAACTGACCTAACGGCAGCATGTAGAGATTGAACAGAAGAGGTCCCAGGATCGACCCCTGTGGTACTCCGTTCAAATGAATGGAGCTGCGCCGGCTGACGCATGACGGAGATAGGCGTGACTCTGTCCGTTAATATATACATAGACGGTATATATTAACGGACAGAGTCACGCCTATCTCCTTCATGCGTGTCTCCGCCGTTCCAACTAATGGGCCAAAAAATGTGCTCTACTGGAGCTATCCAAAAAGGCCGCGAGTGGTGCCGCCCACAAGAAAATTGTGAAAAAACGCAGCTGTGCATGCGTCAGCCGGCGCAGCTCCATTCATTTAAACGAGCGACTTCAAAAATTCACAAGTAAACGAGAGTGGACCAAAAAAATTCACCTCCTTCAGCATTGACACACATGTGGAACGGAGCTTTGGGCCAAGAGCCAACTTTTGGTCCATCCTGTAAAGACGTTTTCGAGAGGTCTGCCAATGCTATGTGTTAGCATTGGCTAATTCTTCTTCCGGGTCCACCCCCATCGGCCCGGGGTGGTATTGCAAGCATGTCAGCGCACGTCATTTTGGCCACTTTTGAGCTGGGACCCGCCCCCACTGAGTCTATGGTGCCGACTGACGCATGCGCAGATGCGTTTTTTCCAAACCCTGCGGCCATTTTGAATCACTCCACGAGAGCCCAATTTTTAGAACTGAGGTGAGGTGAGGTGGCTCGGGCATCTGTTCCGGATGCCTCCTGGACGCCTCCCTGGGGAGGTGTTCCGGGCACGTCCCACCGGGAGGAGGCCCCGGGGAAGACCCAGGACACGCTGGAGGGACTATGTCTCTCAGCTGGCCTGGGAACGCCTTGGGGTCCCCCCGGACGAGCTGGAGGAAGCGTGTGTGGATAGGGAAGTCTGGGCGTCTCTACTTAGACTGCTGCCCCCGCGACCTGGCAACGGATGAAGCGGAAGAAAACGGACCGTACTATTTAAGACCATGGTAATGTCTTAAATAGTATGCAAGCTCTTTGCCACAAGGTTCGGCTGCGTTTGTTGCAGACCCCCGCTGTTAGATTACTGCCGTTAGCTTACTGTTGTTAGCTTACTGCTATTAGCTTACTGCTATTCTTGTCTCAAATGTTGTTAAAACTAATATTTGTGCACTATTCAGTGTTAACTTTGACAAGAAATTCTAATTTTGTTTTAGTCTTTTGACTTTTTAGTTTTAGTCACAATTTCAGTCGACAAAAATATGAAGCAAATATATACAACCTATTTTCTGAAACATGTTGCCCATGACATTTGGATGTGTAACGAGGGACATTTTTGTACACATACGTTCAGTATTATCGCTTGTATCCGCGCTTGCTGATGACAAACGCGACATGAGTGGCTTTGCTTTAATGGTCCTCCTCGCATCTACTCCGGCCAGTCAATTGGTTGTTTAAATTGTCTATTTTTTGTCTTGTCTTTTATTCGTGGACTAAAATGTCAATCAATTTATTCATTGTCTTCGTCCCAATTAATTACTCCGACTTTAGTTTATGTGGCCAAAAACTTGTTCGTTGTCTCATTCGTGATACATAGACATCAAATGGTGTCAGAAGTGACAAGGCGCCAATCATCAGAAAACAAACTGAATGTTCAACAGATATCGATGATTCCAGTCAGATAGATTTTTGTAGCAGAACACTTGTTTGCCAACCTCCCTCTTCACTAGAGTAACTCTAAAGTTGGGTGGAGATAGATTTAGGAGAGAATGCAGTGATGTGAATGCACTGGATCAAGTGTTGTTTTAAGTAATCAGGAAAGTCACTGTGAATACACGTTATGTGGGACCAAGTCCCGGCGATCCAAGATGGAAAGACTTGCACGGTGTTAGAAGGAGTATATTGTAACTCCTCAAACTTCTCATCCTCACTACTTACAGAAAACATAGACTTGTATAAAACACCATCCTCTGCTCTCTCTACTAATGTTTAATTCCTACCTGCTGAATGATGGACCGGACCTCTTTTAGACCTATCTTGATACTGAAGATTAAAGAAACTAGTCAAACTGAGGTCTAGATTCTCAAAGACCAGAGCCCTGTCAAAGCCGTACTCTGCGGTCATTAAATACTCCACGATGTTGCGTTGTTCAGCACCCTTATCCTTCATTCTCAGCAGCAGAGAAACCTAACGAGTTGAATATGATGAGATTAGAAGTACATCAGTAACACTTTACTGTGAGTTGCAAATAACTCACCTCTTTTTGGAGCAGTTCTTGAGATCGTGGGACTCTGATGCACACAATCTGGCATGTGTCCATCCGGCTGCACTTGATCATCTCACCAAAGTTATCTCTTTCAAGAACATTGTGTAATGGCCCAATGACCCAATAAAAACAAGACAGTGAAGTATTAAAACCAATGTAAAAACCCAAAAGCGTACAAAATATCCAACAATAAAAAAAGTATGAAGGGAAATCCCATTCGAGGCACAGGGCATCAAGTCCTCCGCTCCCAGCAGCCCTCGCCTGTGGGACACAGAACAGCAACAGTGCCCAGCTCTCAAAGGGTGTTCTATCTTCATATCATGAGCTAATAGTGACTTTGCTAAGTCTCTCAATGGTGATCAAGATCATATTGTTAATAATTGTGTCAAACAATTCTCCAACTGAAATGTTACATGAGGCATCTTCGTCATTATTAGGCCGACCCTTCATTCTCAGGAGAAACCCTTTGCTCTGTCGCATCACGCTGGTCCTCTTCCTCCTCTGGAGCCTCCTCTGGAGCCTCCTCTGGATCCTTCTCTGGAGCCTCCTCTCCATAGTATAGAGTACACTATCCACAGTTCAGAGGCAACTCACTGATGAGCAGAGATGAAGGGATGCTGCAGGACTTGTGTTGGAGTGATCCGTGTCGCCTCATTCACATCCAGCATCCACTTCAGAAGATCAATGCAGGTCTCCAGCTCCTGCATTTTGCATTTCATCTGAAAAAAACGTTGAGTTGACGGAGCCTATTACCACCAGAGGTGCTCCCCCTCTACTACCTCTGCCCACAGGGGCTAAAGAAGCATATATTACTCAGGTGTGGTGCTGAGGACTTTTGAGGTGTACTTATTCAGGACATCTATATCTGTGAGTTTGTTATTTGATTTTTGTTTATTCATCTGCATCTGATAATATATCAGTCATTTTGTGTCTTTGATTTAGATGTTTTCACCAAGTATTTACTCAGAAAAGGGCAGGCGTCACCAACACCCAGAGCGCCACTGACTACAACAGTGATAGGAGCACTTCAGATTGTTCTCACGACAGGCCGCAGGAACAAAAACACTTAGCCTCAATTATCAAACAAGAACAATGTATTTACTCACCCTTAGCTGATTCCACAGTGATGGCCCAGAACGGGAATGCTGCATGTTATAATTATTTGAAGAGGCCAATTCTTCTTTGGTCTATATTGAATACAAAGAGATGTTATAGTTTTTATTATATTTCAAGCATTTCTGAAATGATTTGAAACCTTTCACGTACCTTTATCCTCCATCCACCGGGAGTGTCAACAAAGAACATGGGTGTTTCAATGCTTTCCTCAAGCATGCCATGACTCGGTGAGCCCACGAGAAGGACGATGGTTCTCATCTGAACAAACAAACAGTTATTATTGAGACGTCCACATGAAAGATGCTTCCTCTTAAACTCCTACATCTGTTTTGGCTCGTGCACAAAAGTTTGGCATACCCAAATGTCTTTGCTTATTTAAAAACACATCTTACATCTCACATGCTTGTGTGATGCATCATTTTAAAGCTAGGCCCTTCTAGTTTATGTAAATATACACTGAAATAATGTATGTCATTCCTATTTCACTCTGCATGCTTTTTTGGATTTTTTGGAAATTTGGGAAAAAAACCTGTTTTTTAGCCTCGCCTAAAAAATTCAATGTATTAATGCCCTAAAAAAGCCTACTTCATTGGAAGAAGAAAATTTTCAACGCCAATTTTTTCAATGTGTTGTTGAGAACAACTGTGTAAAGTTTCAGATTTCTAAGTTTTTATCAAGTAGTGCCGTTCGGAACCAATTTGGCAAAATGTGTGCCAAATTGTGCCAAACTGCTTTACTAAATTTTCACCATCATAAAAAGCATATTTTTTTTAGTTTTGGTACTTATAAGTTATAAATCTGTGTGATTTCCTTTTACATTTTTTCAAAATAAATGTTGTAGTAGTGTAAATGCATATAACATTTTTGCAGCAGTACTAACAGCGTCTTTACGCACGCTTTTACTGTGAAAATGAAAAGAGTTCCTACAAGTAAGTAAGTAAGTTTTTATTTATATACCGCCTTTTCACTGCAGATCTGAGTCTCAAAGCGGTTTACAATTGTTAATTTTGGGCATTTGTCTCTCACTCCACACAGAGATGGGAGCGGGGCCAGTACAGGAGGCACATGCCAGAACTATTGGACATATTTTTAGTGGTAGGGGAAACCGGAGCACCCGGAGGAAACCTACGCAGACACGGGGAGAACATGCAAACTCCACTCAGAAAGGCCCTGGTCCGACCGGGATTCGAACCCAGGACCTTCTTGCTGAGAGGCGAGAGTGCTATCCACTCAGCCACCGTGCCGCCCAAGTCCCACCCATCAAAAGAAAGCTCTTTTTATTTACTTACTTAGACACGTCAATCATTTAGTGCTAGCACATTGCGCTAATACCTAAAAAAACATGACGTGTAATGAGTTTGCCATGTAATTTTCATTTATTTGGGGAGGAGTAAGACTTATGAACTCCCACTCCATTTAATGGGCTAATGATACTACTATGGTACTAGACATGGTCAATGTTGTTACTTCAGTAAAAGTTTGGGCACAAAATGTTACATTGTCTAAGTAGAGACATTCATTTTGATCTTTAAAATTGTTCATTTAGAAGTTTTCATTTGCTGGTAACTGGCATAATAATAAATAACACAAACATAATGTAACATAAACAATATTCACTTTTATGTATGCATTAAACTGACAAATTGTAGTTTTAAAGTAATTTACTTTCTCCAAACTAAAACCAAATGTTGCTAACTGACAAAGGCGGCTATTGTTTGCTAATGCAAGATTCTCTTCAGATCCAATATAATCACTTAAGATAATGTACTTTAGTAGGTTTTACAGTAGTTACAATGGTTTTAATCAGTGAAATGGAGAGACTGCAGTAGACTAGCCTGTATGCTACATGCTATGTGCACGCTACATGTCATGGTTAAAATTGAGAGATGCTTACCTCCATCATGGCCGCGGATTTCATGGCCAGGTTGTGAGGCACCTTGACGGCCACCTCTGTGACACATCTGACCACTTTACCATAAGCCCCTTCTCCTAACACCTGCTTGATGGTAAAGTTCTTGGGGATGAGTGAAGACATGTTGTTCGAATCACTGCAAAAGTAATATTCAAGTTAGTTATTTTGGTTTCCCCATAGTTCAGTCCAAGATGAATACATCAGTACCATTTCTATTAAAATTACAACAAAAGAAATGTTTAGATTGTTAAAAGCACACTGTTATTAAGGTCTTGTTGGTTTAGAAGTCAGTCTGGCTCACCTGAATGTATTACAAAGATTTTCATAAATAAATCTCTGCTTTGAAAAACACGTCTTTCCTGTTTGACTGCTCTGTATAAATTTAGGAGAATCAGTCCTTAGCTTGCTAAATCTGAGATATAGTCAGGTGTGTAGGTCCAGTGTGGATCAGGGGCCAGCGGGTCCTTCGAGCCGGATCGACTATTGTCTGAGTTAACAAGATGGCATCTCCAATCCATACAGAGGCTCATCATAGGGAGAGTCCAACGCATTGTACCCGTCCACGCAGGACCAGAAAGCTTCCAGGACATCTGTTGCACTATGAACATGATATACCCGATCCAGAGTCACTTTCTGACCGGTATGCAGATGAATCAGACCAAGAGAACAGGTATAGATGGGAGAAGATGGAGTGTGCGTGGGACCAAGTGCTGAATACCATGAAAGAGATGCAAGTAACCATGAAAGAAACCAGCAGTGCATTAAACAGGCGGGTGGAGAAACTAGAGCGTCATTGTGACTCTGGTAGTCCTCCCCCTTTGGCCAGTGCACCAACCAGAGCTGCTTCAGTTCCTCTACTGAGAAGACAGGACATCATAACTCCGGTGAACCAGTTAAGCCGGTGACGGTAAGGTTTTTGAAGATTTTTCCCTATCTATTTCCAGCCTGGTCGGCCTCCTCAGTACTATGGACGATGTAGCAGTGAGTGAGCTCCATTGTGGTTCACATGTAAACAGACTACTTACAGTAGTAAACTCCCTCCCAGCTACCGGGACAGTTTTATTTTATATATATATTTATTTTATTTTTTATTCACACAGCAGGTAAACATATACATAGGGACAGTCAATAAGCAAGCAATAGAAACATTAACAATATTACTTATTAAAAGGACTTGTGTCGTGTGTGTGGTTATATTGGCATTAACCTAAATGGGGGGTAAGAATGATAGAAATACAAGATGTAATACAGTGACAGACGGTATACAGTAAAACCATCTGCAAAAGGACTACAAAGGGGAGGAGAAAAAAATAATAAAAGTAAATCAATAAACCAACCAATTAAACAATCACAATAACCACAGGAACAACAGTGACAATAAAAGCAGAAAAGAGATTGAACTATATTAAATCATTCGCCTCTTAGAGAATTAAGATGCATACATATACATTACATACACATACATATACACACATAACTATTATTAATAATAATAAATAACAGTTAACATATCTGTATACTATACAAACATATTACAATCGATTTATTTTATTATTTTTTTCTGGTGATTACAAGTTCCAACATCAGATGTTTGAGGCACATTAAATACATTATATTTTAAAATTAGCTATTGTTTGATGTTATTCCCACTGTCCACTCACCACCTCACCTACCTGGGAATAAAGGTTTCCCCCAGACTGTTAGAGCTGTTTTCTCTTCATTTCACCCCACTAATCAAACAAATAGAAGATTATCTCCAACGTTGGATGAACCTCCAAGTCTCACTCACAGGCAGAATAGCAACAATAAAAATGTTACTCCTTCCCAAAATCAATTACCTCTTTTCAATGACCCCAGTACAACCAACCTTGACCTGGTTCAAATCTCTCAACACAGCTATTAACAAATGTTAATGGAAAAACAAACCCCAGAAACCCAAACTTCAGGGCGGACTCAACGCACCAAACTTCCAGCACTACTCATTATCAGCACACCTACAGTACATACACAAATGGATCCACCCAAACACAGCAGACGCAATTTGGACAGACATCGAACTAACAATGTGCAAACATATCAAACTCTCAGACCTACCCTTTTTAAACTGCACTATTGAAAAAAATCCTCTTTTCAAAGCTCCAACAATAGCAGCAGCTCTGACAGCCTGGTGGAAACTACACCAACTATCAAATGCACCACTCTCTCTATCCATACACACACCTATCTGGCACAACCCTGAATTCACAATCAATAACAAACTTTACTTTCACTCCTGGGCAGAAAAGGGAATCACATAATCTCAAACGGAACATTTTCACCACTCCCACACTCGGTCCAGGGGTATGGCATCAGGAGCAATTGCTTCCTTGAATATTACCAAATCAAATCAGCAATTCAATCCAAAATCAATGACCGCTCTCCATCTCTATCTCTTTAAATATTTAAATATCCAACTTCTGGATCCTAATCTGCAAAAACATATATTCAATGACCAAAAACTCCAATCTCCAACTCATACAATGTAAAATCCTTCATAGAACCCACTACACACGGACACAAACTTGCCAAAATGGGATTCACAACAGACACTGCACACCGGTTAAAACATTCTGAGAAACACTAGAGGCACTGCGGTACTCAAGTCACAGAGTGAGTCTACATCAATCTATCATGGCTCAGATCCGTCTCAAGCACAAGCTAAAACTGAGCGCAAGACACAAGCTTCTCCTTCAGCCCCCTCCAGACAGAGGCAGAAGTTCACGCCATATTGCCCTCACTGTAAAGGAACAGAACATTACCTCAGCGGCTGTGAAGACTTCAAAAAGCTAAATATTCAAGCTGTAGCCCCCTGGATAAAGGACCAATCCAAATGCTGGCGCTGTGGCCGTAAACACACTCCTGAGCAGTGCACTCTGAAGAAGCCGTGTAGCAGCTGTGGAGAACAGCACTTATTAGTGCTCTATGACCTGGCAGAGGCAAAGAAACAAGATCCTAATCTTCTGACTGTGAGTACCAGCCAAGTGTTTTTGGGTCTACTCAGTCACTCGGGCTGTGTTATGCTTAAAGTAGTCCCCATCCAGCTGCACCATGACAAGAAGTCCCTGGACACATTTGCCCTCCTAGATGATGGATCAGAGAAAACTATCATCCTCCCTGCTGCAATCAAATCACTGGGGCTAACGCAGGAAGAGGAAACGCTCTCACTCCGAACTATCCGTCACGATATAATACAGATGAAGGGAGCTTATGTGTCATTTCAATTGTAACCCAAGGCCAAGCCAAAAACACGCTACAAAATAGTGCATGCTTTCAGTAACACACAGTTGAGTCTTGCCGAACAGTCATGCCCCGTGGAGCTCTTAAAGAAAAAATATTGTCACTTACAGCACGTGCAGCTGGAGGAATTCACACAAGTGCAGCCTCTGGTGCTAATCGGCTCTGTTGTCAAAAAAGATTTGACTGACGTGTTCAGAATTTGATACAGAAATAAGGCCAAGACTGCAAGAGTTAAAAATAGAACATTTAATTCTCTTTACAATTAAATATCGATACAAAACACTTGGAGCCATTAATTCTCTAAAACTAACCCTATGCTGAGCCATTCTAAACTTTCCCTCCAGGCCTGAAAAATGTGCAGAGAACATCCAGGCGCTCTGCGATGTTCCCTGTCTATCTATCACTGCTCAGACTGCTCAAAATGTCCTACCCCCAGTTTTATCAACATGTCCGATGACGTCACATGGTCTGAGACTGGTCTCTGGTCTGGTCTCTGGTCTGGATTTTGGTCTTCCTTATCAGTCTTAGCAAACAAGGCCCCCACCTCTGCGGCGCCTGATTGTGTTGGACTTTGCTCATCTTGTGTCCTTGTGACTTAAGACCTGAGGGCACAGGTCTTTTTTGGCTATGATGTTCAAATGGTCAAATATTGTCACATCTGTTTAGTGTATATTTAAAATATACAGCATTTCCCTCTCTTGACCTATATTAAACAATTAGGTCACAATCTTTCAATAACCCTTCTGGGTGGCGGGACTGGGGAGATCTTCCATCATCGCCAACATCTTAGTTCTGGCTCGATGTTTGTGAAGAATTAATACAGGGAAAACAAACAACACACAACCACATTCGAAACATTCCTTTACAAATCACATTACTGCTAACACATCAGGTATAATTATTTTAATTATTTAACAATGATGGTTTTCTTAAACCATGTTGTCTATTTTTTCTATAAGATTCTGCATTAGTGTGTACGCCTAATTTATTACCAAACTGCTACTGTTCGTTAATAAACATGTTCCCAACAAAAATATAATATAAACAAATTCCTTCAATACTATTTGATGACCACTGCTGATTCTTCATCAACCTCGTCTGCAATGTATGCACTAAAACTATTCACTATAGTTTAAAACTATTCTAATCTATTTACAAATATGTTTGCATATTTGCTTTTATTGAGCCATATTTTTAAACATATGTTTTTATCTAATAAATCTGTCTATACTGTGGTTTGCTTTCATTATCAGTGGCTTTGTGCCATTTTGTGGTTATAGAGCTCTTCGCGAAAATTCACTGTGGTAGACCCGGCCGCTGCTACAAGCCTGTTCATCCTCTACTCATTACACCAGCAAAACGCCCACATCCAATCCACCAATAACCACCAGGACAGCAAGTTAAAAGCCGGAGACGCCCACTTCCCGGCCTTCTGAAGTCTGCAAACTTCTGAAGCCTGCAAGGTGCATGTCGCTAACGCACCTGTTCGCAAATGCATGCGTTGTTCTGGAGGGGTCGCTTCTGCTCACGTGTTGCTCGTGCGCGTGGCCCGGCTGTCCTCAGTCTGGCTGCTCGTGGTCTGCTCCTCCTCCGCGTCCCTGCACCTGCTGTGGTTCGCGTGTCTCCACTGCTCTCCTCCTCTGCGGGCTCTTCTGCGGGCTGCTCCGCGGGGCCCCTCCGCGGGTTCTGTGCTGCTCGTTCCTCGTGGTCTGCTGCCGCGCGCAGACGGTCTGGCGGTGCCGTGCGTGTCCCTGCCTCCGATTGGCGGTGCCGCGTTGTCCCGTTGCTTTTCCCAAGTTTCCTGGCATGTGAGTACAGTGAGTGTGCTGACCGCGGACGGATTAATC